GGGACGTGCAAACGTAAAAAGGCGGCGTGTTGGGGTGCAGCGAGTCTATTAGTGGCCATCCAGGTTGAACTGTGTTTGGTTTGCGGGCTTGGCGCGACCATCTGCGAGGATTATCAACGATGTAGAAGTCAAACCGTCCTCGCAGAACCGCGTCGCAATTAACTCCTCCCCCTCCCCCTCCCCATCTTGCTAAAAGACCGCAAGGGTGCGGTGATCGGACTAACTACCCCGATAAAGCCGCGGCTCCTCGGACACGGATACGCTCCGGAGAAAATAATTAACTACCTACATCCGTTTCGGCGACTCGACCTGCATGCCGCCCTGCGCTCTCGCAAACAGCTACAGCAAATCTTCGTCCTATCTAGAGGGGATAGTCCGCATAGAGATGTCTTGATTTGACGTGGCAGCAGCAGGTCCTCTGTCATGTCAGGGCTGTTCCGTCGTGTCCAAATGCGCTATTGTGCGTGTAACCGCGTATATTAGGTCTATAGTGTTCGTGGATTGAAATGCACGAGAACTGTATCGCCGAGAACGCATGAAATTTTGAAAGGAAGTTTCAAAAAAAAAAAGATCAATGGTCGCCCAGAATTGTAAACAACTTGTAATAAATTATTTGTTATTGACGCTATAAAAATATAAATAAGTTTAATTGTCAAACAAAAATAAAACAGAGATATTAGCAGATTCGATTACAAAGAGTTATTAAAAAGCTTTCTGTTAAAAGCAATTAATAATTACTACATAAATTATAATTTCTTATTTCTCTTAATTGCAGAAATTTCGATTCTGCGAATGTCTAAAATTATCCCGTCAGTCATTGTTCCAAAGTTAAATCTGCTTGCACTCAATCTCAGGTCAAAGAAGCTTGCAAAGAGATCGATATTTCAAGTAGTATTTCGAGTAGGCTATCAAACGGTGGATTCACTGACAAATACATCTACCTATACCTACTCGTACTTTGTCTTTTCAAAGAAGGATTTAGCTTTCATTCGAGCAACCGGCGTCCGTGCATTTTTATTTTTGTAAATAAAAAAGAGAGTGATTGTTCGTTTGATTAATTCATTTCTTCCATTTTTAACTAAAGATTTCTAACAAATAATTAGATTGGAGGAAATTGTTCCGACCTCTTAATCAGAAAATTAAAGTTGGACGAACATTATTCATTAGCAGAAATTGGAATAAGCAAGCAGCAACTGTTTTTTTATTCAAATCACTATTAGTACATTATATAAGTTTTCTTTTTTAGAAGAAGGATGAGAAAAATAAAATTGGTTTCTCGGTCAAGTTTAACATCACTTTTCTAATCACATTCAACACAGGCACTTAATATCATTTCCAGCCCTTCGTCGGGACAAATTAAAATTGTAGAAACATCACGAGAGAGATTTACACGACTCAATTCTATTTATTAAAACAACGTGTTTGGCCTTTCATATTACTGCTTGTTGCGTCCTGCAACCACGCGCGGCGCAAGGGCTGTCATCGGCGTCCTAGAAACAACTTCGGTAACACGGGAAGCGGGATATTAGTGAACAATGGTGGCCATAATGCTTCCTGCCGGTTATAACGCCGAGTTATACCTGCCTGCAACTTGAGTCAAGCGCAAACCTAGGATTGGATGGCAGACAATTTAAGCTCGGCTTACGATTTAAACAACGGGTTGCTGTACAAGCGGGCCTCCATCCAACAGCCCCCTCCCTCCCCCCGCCCCTTCCCACCTCCTCCCCTCTCACCCGCGGCCCGCGCCCCGTTTAAACACTCTTACAACCACCCAAATGTGGTATGGATTAATTCATTCAACGTCCCTATCTGCATCCGGGAAAGGGCTTTTAGGCGCTTAAAGCGGGAAATAAATCTATCCCGCGCGGCGAGTCTCACCGAGATCGCAGCCCAGCAAAGAATCTAAATTGCGGTTGCCGTTGTAATCCATCGTTGTCACCCGCGCGAAATAAATGATATCCGTAATTGTAACGTACCGTACATTTTATTAAGCTGGCCATTGTTCGTCGCCGAAAGTAAACTGTCTAGTGGTGCGTATTTCCGCATCGTATATTTTGCGCTGAATGCGGCTGTCCGGCCGTTCCACTTCATGTTACGTAGGGAACACGTCTTTCGAATTGGAGAAACGGAAGAGTCGGGACCGTGTCATGTCTCGCGCTAAAGCAGTAATCTAGATTTCGGTCTCATTCCACGTCGGTATTTCGAAAGGCAAAACCGCGCACTCGCGAAACGTACTATATGTGCGAGCGGTGCGAATTCTGGAAAAATTCTTGCCCTCCGCCCTCCGCCGTACGTTACGCCGCGCAGCAGTAGTAATTCCATAACTTATAATGCATTTTCTGCTCCGGACTGCGAAATAACGGTCGCCGCGCTAACTTAGCGTTACGTCAAAAGTTCCGGGCGAACGTTTAACATACGTCCGACGCGCTATTTATGGCCCATGAAATATTTCCGCGTTATAATTGTGCCTTGAAGCCTGAATTCATAATGCTCATTTTCTGGCGCTTTAGGCATCCCCCCTACCCCCGTTTGCGCGCCCTCCACTTAAAAAGAAAGATATGCAAGGGGCATTAAATAAATTTACACTTTCGGTGCTCGCTCACACTCGGTGGCGTAGGAAAAAAAAACGTACACGACCTGATTAGTTCTCCTCTTTTCCTCCCTTTTCCTTAATCGGATTTACGATATCGCGAAATTCATTTGCAATTTTCATGGCGGCCCTAATGAGAGACTTTCGTGTCTCCGACATTAAACCGCTTTCTTGTGGTTTTACTCGGGAATGACCTTTCTCTCGCGAAAAACTAATAATACACCGAAAGATTAAGCAGTTAAATGAGTCATAAACGTTATGAATTTTATTGTATATGAGCGAATTGAGGGAGACAATGTATTCGCTGCTAATCGTAACAAAAAGAGCAAAATCCGCAAAAAACAAAACAAGGCGCGAAACGAGTTCTTCTCTCGACGGACGAGGAAAAAAATTGCATAGAATGCTAGCACCTAGGTAGAGACCAGCTCGAGAATCGCACGATCGTGTCGGGAAAATTGGAACAGCCAGCGCGACCGCGTGCCGCTCTTCTCGCGCGCTGGTTTATCCCCAGTGCTTTTAATTTCGAGCTACGGAGCTCTTTATACCTGCGAGGGGCATAATTATCCACAAGAGGATGGAGGGTCGGCATTGAATATTTTAGCTCTCGCTCCTCGCGCGCAGCATTGCCGCGATCTCCCCCTTCCCTCCCTCCCCTTCCCCCAATCCTTCGCTCCTTGTGCTCCTCTTTCGGCTTCGTACCAACATTTCTTTTCCGTAACGAAAAATAAAAATGGATAAGCAGAGAAGCGGAAGGAGGCTCGCGACTTGAAAAAGCGAAAATGGGAGAGAGGGAATCCTTCTCTCTCGTCCCGAAGTCTTACGGCTCTCTAGGATTAGGTGGGAAAGTTACGTCAGGAATTTTGCGGCCAGCTTTGCATAAGTTCCCGGTTCTATCTCGTTCCCTTTCATTCGGCGGTTGTTTCCATATTCCGTCTCTGTGTGTTTCGTGATTTTCGTTTCGGACGCTGATGCTCAATAAAAATACGGAATCGCGTATTAACTTCTACATCGTAATCCAACAAGGTATTTCGCTTCTATAAGCCGTTAAAGTATCTAGCTACATGGCTGACTTACGATTTAATAACGTCGTAAGCGTGCGTAAAGAATAATCTATATAAAACGTAATTAAATTATTCTTTTCAACGGTTGACGTTGCATGTAATAATAATAATAATAATAATAATAATAATCTTATCTCCAGTTTTAAAAACTTCGAAACTATAAAATATATTCACACTCAAAAGAAAAAGCATATTTTTAGATACATATATTAAGATCGGAGCAGAAAATAAAATTTCACTCATCGATTTATTAAAGTCAGCGAGATATCTTCATATAAATTAACACGAGAAGATATTAAAATATAAATTCGTGCGAGGGAATCTTAAGGTGAGAAGTATTCATCATCTTGACAGTCAACGAACCTAGTTTATCGTTATAATTAATACGAGGGACGATCGCGATATGTTGTACGTGAGTGATTCGAGGTGTGATGTCGGTTTCGTCATGTTGTGAAAGTCAGCGCAGATTTATTTTATCGTTATAGTTAATACGAAGTGGGGACGGTCGACGAAAATGAATTGCATCGATATGCAAATGTCCTCCCCCGAGTGCATAATCAATTCGATATGTCCCGACGGCATTTTTTTCCGCTGTAATATTGTTACGTACGAATAGCGGCACCGATCGTATTCTTTTTTCTCTTTTAACAATAATTCAATTTGTAATATAAAAGAGCTTGTGGAGATTCCCATTAAAAAAAAAAAAACCCGTAATGTTTCGCTACCGGCGCGATCGATAGATATTGGGGAATTGACGAAATTATCACTTGGCCATCGAGCGAAAAGTGATCTTCGGCGAGTCCATCTTTGCAGGCCGCGCACGTCTGATATAAAGTATCTCGCGTTGTTGGAACGCTGGAGGGGGGAGGGGAGGGGAGGAAAAAAAACCCGGAAGATCTGTCTTTCGTGACGCGTTTCGCCTCCCCGAACACAATTCCGCGCAGCCGGTGTTCAAGAATGAGGTATAAACCGTTGATAAATGATCACGGCAGAAAGAACAGCCTCGTAATTGTAGTCTTATTAATGGCTCGCAACTGCACGGTGTAACGACCTGTAGCTATAACACGCATCTCGTTTGTATCTCGTAACCGTAATCTGCCAATTTACGGCGTGAAATCGCTTGTAGCACGAAAACGTGCATGAAGGTATTCAAATAGGGGGGAGGGGGGGGGGCAGAGAGAGTGAAAAATAAAGAATCCGGAATAAATTCTCTGAATTGCTACGGAAAAAAAAAACGGATACGTTTTGATTAATCCGAGAAGTTACATGCACTTGTCATAACTCCTTATATAATTGCGAGTCTGAAATAAATTTCCTTTTAAAAGTCAAATTCAACGTAAACTAATTGTTACATATTTTACTTTAATTACCAATTTATTTTAGAGAAAAATCGGAAATGTTGAGAACAGAAATTGTTCTGCATCGATATACGTTTTGTTAAATTTAGATTGTGTTCTTTCAGGATGTCGAGAGGCCAAGGGGGATGGTCCGACGAGCCCTGCACTTCCGGTAGTGCGAGTCGTCGAGGTGGGGCACGGCAAACGGCGGGATCATCCTCGAGAACGGCATCGTCCTCGTTGGAAGAGCGCGCTTCCGGCACCACGCCGTGTAAAGGTGGCTTCAGATTAGGGGTCTACGGCTGGAGGAAAAAATGTCTTTATTCCCTCGTGTTGACCCTCATGGTCATCGTCATTCTCAACCTCGCCCTCACCGTCTGGCTTCTTAAGGTCATGGGATTTAGTTCCGTAAGTTTTTCAATTAATAAAATATTACTGTCGTTGTATACGCCCAAAAAAATGTTTTGCTGATGCAGGTAGATTTTCAAGTGTCACAACGAAAATGTACCGCTATTTTTTGTACTTGTTATTAAACTATTGTTTGTCACATATAGAATTTATAGCAGCAACACACATTCTTGCAATATCTTCTAGAAAATGTATGTATTCATTTGTCTCTCGCTGTTAGTCTTTTCTGTGTACCATAATCAAACAAATATGATTGGCCTTAACATGAATAGGTCACAGAAAAATTTTCGTTTTAAATTTCACAAACAGTTCAGATATAATTCTGTCTCTGTCATTCAGATTGGTTAAGTACAAAATATATCACAGTATTGCTATTAATTATTTATCTACTTTAGTTAATTTTTCGTAGCTCGAAAAATTTTGACTCTACTTGCAAGACCACTTTTTTTAGTATATGAGTTAATTAATGTTATGGGATTATAAGTTCACCAACATTGTGTCCATTAGCTTCTTCAATGAAAATTTAAAAAGGCAGAAATGTGACAGCTAAATTTCGCCCATTTGGTTAATTTCGAGAATATCACATACGTCTTGCGGCTCTTGTCATGAAGATATAAGAAATGTGCCGCACACACGTACACTACACGCGAAAACGTCGAAACGCACTCCGGTCCAGAATGATTCCTTCCGGCTGGAAGTCTCCACCAAGTTTGATCTGGATAAGGACGTGTGTAACTTTCGACAGTCATTAAAGTCGACTTCCGTCTTGCGGCTTGGAATTAGTTTTGCGCGAGTTTCCGAGCCCGAATAACAGGCCTCGACGAGGGTGCCGGATCGTACGAGCGATGGTGCGCGATCGGGGATACATACGCTTCGCGAGAATGAGGAGGGGAGAGGAGGGGGAGACACGGAGGCGCGAACGGTGGTTAATATAATTCGCTGTAATTGCCATGAGAACCGTAACATCGACGCCCGCGCTGCTATATTCGTCGCGGAAAATTGCCGTTTGCACTTCATACTTCTTCTTCCTCTGGACTTAATTCGGACGCGTTACAATTACCCCGTCCCCGGGAATCGACCGGGGTTCATTAGTAAGTAAGTCGGCGGCGTTCAAGCGTTCTCTCCTTCGCTCCTCTCTCGCAATCCCGGAGAAACGCGACCCGTACCCAACTTCTTGATTGCGATAATGGCTGTAATGTAAAGGTCGTTTCAATGTAAATGTCTGTGTCGCGCGCGCGAAGGCCAGGATACGACTTTCCTGAGTTAGCGGGACACGTTTAGCGATTTCAAATCGAACGAGAAGTCGTACGCATGTATATGTAAACGTGTGAATTCGGATATTATCAATTTTTAGCGAGATTTTTTTTGGTAAAATTATATATTCGAATTAAATTTAGTAAAATTACATATATTTGAATTAAATATCTCGGCGAGAGAAATAAATTATTAATAAATAGAAATATATTCTATTCTATCGGTTTAATTTATTTGGAATTAAAAGGAAAAAAACGCATATCTCATCGTATAAATCTTAAATGAACAGTCTGCAGAATGCGCCTCCCAATCATCTTGTAACATCCGATTCGAGTTACGCGCGCAGGGATTCGCATAAATTCTTCCAATCCACTTTATCACCCAGCCGTGCCGGCGCTTTTGCTTCTGCGAAATCGTCATTTCTACGTATCCGAGCGGATGCAACAATGGCATTGGGATTCGTCGAACGCTAAGCTGGGCGCCTAGTGCGCTCGATTAAGGCAAAAACGAGATCGTGAGACTCTCCGTCCCGCGCGCGCGCGCGTCCCCCTCCCCTCCCCGCCGAACTGCAGCTACCTATTCGCCATTATCGAATTTATTCGAAATCGAAAGGAGCTCCCGCGATCTGGCGCAATGATCCCTCGATGGGGGCTAAACTCGGTGGAAATTGAGTATCAATCCGTAAGTAAGGAGCCCGGGAGTAGCAGGGATACCCCGTGGGAAATGTAAGTCTCTGCCACTTCTTTCCCCATCCCTCGTCACCCTTCCAGTTCTCTCGTTTCACTCCTTCTCTTTCTCTCTCTCTCTCTCTCTCTCTCTCTCTCTCTTTCTCTCTCTCTCTTTCTCTCTCTCTTTCTCTTTCTCCTTCCGCTATCTTTTCCGTTTTATTCCGCTTCCATTCCTTGTACGATCGTCTACCAACCCCCTGCCGCGCGCGCTCTCTCTCTCTCTCTCTCATCCCCATTCCACGTCCCATCCTCTCACAGTGATTCTCTCATTTGATCTCCCACCCGGTTTTCCTCTGGCTCTTCTCATCCCTGTGTTTCTCTCTTTTTCACGGGGGCATCCTTCAGCCCTCCCGTTGATACCGCTCGATTTGCCGATTCGCGCGCCGAAAACTTCTCCGCGCGTCGTACGTTCTCTCCCCTTTCTTTCTCCTTCATCTGTCGTAAGTCGTAATTAGCAGCGGTAATTAAATTCTCGTTTATCGACCGTTTGCTCGCGCGCTAATAACACGTCCGATTAATTGTGCGACTCGGTAAATCAGCGAGATAATCAATTAGGAGTTTCGGGCGCGTTAATTATTATTGCTCCCGCGACCGAGGTTGCATGGCTGCTCCGCAATCGACGATCTACGAGGATTTCGATTCATGACGCGAGAAATTCGGAAATTAAGATAAACTGACGTGTTTCCAGAATTGTCGGATGTAAAATTTGTCGACGAATCCGTAAATCGAGTGACCGTGGAATATATAGATATATGTACGACTTATACGCGCGACAATTTCATATATTCCGTGCACTCCGCGAGACGGTAAGAACATAATCTTGCGTGGCGCGATATACATGAAATTTTATATGTGAAAGACGGATGGGTTTTGCATAAACGGATTTGACCAGACAAATCCAAACTGCATAAAATGTAATATAACGCCGCGTGCTATTTTCGCGCAATTTAGATCAAACGTATTTTAGAGGAAGTATAACAGTTTATAGAAGACGTGACACCAGAAATTTTAGTAGAGTGACATTTTTAATATTAATACGATACGTGTGAGATCACAAATTTTATTATCTGAAGTATTTTTGATGGTTTTAGTATGTGCAATCTCCTCTAGAAAATAAAACGAATGAGGTATGCAATGTTACATCTCGCGCTTTTCATAAAGCGTGTAAAAAGAAGCGAGAGAACTGGAAGAGAGTATCCGAAATTAAGGTATTCTTGTATTTTTTAATACAATCAAGCGCGACGCGGGATGTCTGAATGTAAGCGGAAACCGGCATGTTCTACAACTGGAAATGACACAAATTACATGACACGACGATATTACAATAATATTTTACGGTGTTGGTACAAAGGACTTTGGCACTACTTGATCCGGAACTTCCCTCACAGACGCTACAAAGTTTAAAGAATAACATTTTAATGACTCTGCGTTAGTAATTGCATTGCTAATTAAAACTGAAGATTAAAGTGTCTCGGCGAATTGAATAGACGGTAAATTTTATTTCCATCTTTGCACTCTCCTTGCCTCACCGCTTCAGCTCCGCTCCGCTCCGCGTATATGAACGCGCATCGCCGAGAACGTAAACGCAGTTTTCGGCAATACGTATCCATTATGACGTGTAAAAACCGACATCACGGTGGTTACAAGCACCGCTGAAAACCACGAGTCACGGGTTGTTACGGCTCGGCTCGGAGCGCGGGAACTCCTCGGGAACTCGGTTGATACCCATCTAGAAGTTTTCCGCTCCTACACCGAGGTGTTCCTAGACGAGTGAAAGCGCGATGCACTCCCGGACCGGGAAATATTTCATGCTCACCGTACTTCTATCCCCATCTTTATCCGCCCATCCTCCCTGATCATTCATATTTGATGAGAGTCTCTCTCTCTCGGTCTGCCTCTTTTCACTCTTGAGTTACCCCGTCTCGGCCAACCCCGAACGACGTTTCATCCACCCCCCTCCCCCTCGCTCACCCCGCTCGTTCCTCCATCCGCAAACGATACCGCGAAGAAATTAAATCATTTTTCTCAATTAAGAAAACCGTCTTGCTCGTCGCGCGCCCTCGTAACTGCGAAACTTTCGCCCCGGCGGAATTAATTAAGAGCCCCTCACGATCGGTGCGCTTTATTAATGAAGTCTCGGTTTTCGCCCCGCGCGATCGATGTTAACAATTACACGTATGGCCAACATATTTTCCAACATATTCATTCGCGAATCGATATATACGAGATCGGGCCTCGGTCGGCGCGCTTTGCCTCGAGTGGCTCTCTCTCCCCTGACGAAGTTAGAATCAATTTTCTTTTCTGGTGGAAAATTAAACGTCTGATATCTTTTCGCAACTTTAAGTATCTTGACGGCTAAGCTTCTTATAATTTAAGAAACTTCCTTCATTTATCATTTACGTTTTACACCATCCGAGATTTTTACTCCATCAATTTTTAATACTCCTGCGTTTGCGTTTATATGTATCTCGGACCGCCTTTTATTTGCAAGTCTTCGACCGCGATGGACTATTCGACGACCTTATACACCTTTATCGATTATGTTTGCATTTTTACGACGACACGTCAAAAGATTTTTCCCTACGAGGCACTTTGCCGTTTCGCGAGTATCAATATTTCGGGTTTCCTTTCGGGATTCCTATCAAGTGGAGAGGTCTTAGGAGAGATCTTCGATTACGGACAATATATAATACACCCTGAAACGTTATGTCGGACGGGGCGATATACAGACACTATATTGGCACTAACGGCTTACATACATGGCCATAGCGAACAGATGCCCCTTCCACCTAATATCGCTTGCGGGACCTCACCCTCTATAACCCTTGTATCCATAGAGAATTCACCTGTATACATTCCTTCCTACATCCTCTACGAAGATACATATTGCACACGCGCACCCTCTCTGCACCCATACAAGGTGGCTCCTTTCGCAGAATCCCTTCCGTACAGAACCAATTGAAATCCGTGTCTCGAAATGAATACTTGGCCACTCAAGTCATGTACATTCACGTACGT